CAAGCATCTTAACGAAAGGGGCTATAGTAATATTAAGGGACAGGCCTCTTGTACCTGTCAATTATGAAATTTCTGTATTCTGCTATGAGTGATGACAAGGTCTTGGCTAACATCCTGAGAATTGTAATATTTAAGCCTAGGGTGATAATAATGAGTAATCATCAGATGCCCTAAGTTAACAAACAATTAACACAGACTGTCATAGGAACTGTGGGAGAAGGCAACACAGCACTCACTTGAACAGCCCCCTGCCCCAATTAAGAACTTCACATTATCTGAGAATTCAGGGTTTACCAGGGGATGCATGTGTACATCTGAACCACTCATATATCATTCTCCTTTTATAACTTGCTTTTAAATGACTAAGAATATGGATGCTCATGTTTCTCTATCTCAATCTTCTACTCTCAAAGAGTTCACTATGAGTTGGATTTTAAAGAGATTTAAAATTCTCTTTCTTAAATCTACTGAATACCCCAAATAAGTGGGGGGGGGGCACCTTAAAGTTTTCTAGTTGCAAAATCCAAACACTGACTCACAGAGACCCTACAGAGTTTCCCCGAGGTGTAAATCTTCAGGGGAGCAGACCGCCTCAATTTTCTCCCTGGGAGAACTGGTGGGTTTGCAATCTGACACAGATGATCAGCCCAATGCATAAACCCCAACACTCGCAGGGCTCCTTTTTAAGGGAGAATCACTCAGGTATTTCCTTAGCCAGGATAGAAAAACGCAATTTTTTCTCTCCAAAAAGCCAGTTTTGATGCCAGAGAACAGTAAGAACTTTGTCTTCAAGGAATAACCTGAAGGTAACTCGGCATCTTAAGGGACTGACTCAGGACGGCACTGCCTGATGTTTATGGGCAGCTGTTTCCAGGATGTCATTAACTATTCTTTCAGAGAGTAATTTTTAGTAATTTGAATGTCAGTATAGGAAAAACAAAAAAAATCCTCCTTTGGAGTCACATCTAATAATATGGAACATAGCCAATACTTAACAATTTATCATTTGGGGGCTCAAATGTAATATCATTTTGGTAGTAACATTTTCTGGAAGGGACCACCGTGAGTAAAGAAATGAGAAGAGTCACCCTTGAACAAAGACAGATTCTCGTCATGTCCAGGAAGCGCTCACATAAAGATTTAAGTTCATCCACAACATGGACCAGCACTCAAAAAGGCCTTGGGAGTCTCCCATCAACAGCATCCTTCAAATTAGCCATCGTTGTCTGAGGGACTTTTTAAAAACATGCCTGTTTGTTGACTGGTTTAAAAACTAGCTTCTTAACCAAAACAAACTAACCTCTAAATTAGGTATTTAGCTGGAAAGTTTTCAAGGCTTTAGTAGCTAAACCAAATAGTCAATTGGAATTAGGAGTAGAATACTGTGCGCGCGCGCACACACACATACACACACACACACATCCATTCATTTCTATCAAGTTAACTTGTGCAAAACTCTGTCTAGCAGCTGCAAGGCGAGAAACGTGAAGAGAAACTGGAATACCAATCGGAAAGATCGCAGCACGGAAAGCCCCTCCACATTCGCTAGACTGAGTTCCATTAAACTGAGGGAGACGATGAACCCGTCAAAAATGTTCCAGCCCTCTTGGAAGTAATAGTAGGGATCCATGGCTATGAGTTTCAAGAACATTTCTGCTGTGAAAATTCCGGTGAAAACCTGCAGTAGGGGAGGCAGGGACGAGAGAGAAGCCTTGATTAGAACCTTGAGGAGCCCCGAGAGCCACCTTTGGTTAACTGTTCATCTGAGAACATCACTACCCAGCTGTCCCATCGCCATCGACGAAGGAACATTTCCTTGTTTTCCACGTGTGGGTTGTGGGAAGCAGAGAATGGGTAAAGAGCATGCACAGGTGAATCCATTATTCTCATATATTAAGAAGCCTGGCAGGCTGGGTTTCCGGGGTGGAGGGAGGCCTTCATCCATGTGAGCTGGAGGTGAGTCCCAATGACATTCTCATGATTAATATGGTTCCCCACGATAGCCTCCCATAATAGTGCCACCTTAAAGTCACCTCTTACAAGCACATGGCTGATTGCTATGTAGCCGGCAGCTCTTAACTAAAAGAGCAGGCTCTAGCTATTGCTCTCTAGACTCTGAAGAAAGGCACTCCCCCTTACCTGCCCTGGGCACTGGTGTTAGGTAACTCCTCTAATATACTCAGGGAGCTTTAGGGTGAGGGTACAGCACACTGTTATGTATGTGGTTACCTGTAATTAGGGGGACTTGCATCCCCACCGCCACTCCACCCCCCGTGCTTCCCGTGGGTATATAAGCCTTGGTTGGAAATATATTCTCTCTGCCTGGACCTGGCTCCTGAAGTCATGGTAGTCCTGGAGGTGAGCACTTGCGTGCCTTATCTTGTCTGATGTCTCTTAATTTACCCCTCAGTGACACAACCGCCCCTCAGACCCATTCGATTGTGGGGGAAGATACCCCACAGTGGGTTACTTTGTTACCAAGGTCACCCACTTCACTGTGTTCTAAGCAATGGTGACATCCTCACAGGGGACTCTTCTCAAAGGGTTAGTGTCCCCTGAATGGAATATGTGTACTTGAGAAGGTATCTTAAAAAGAAAAAAGTCACTTGCCATGTTATGCTATGGCTATTTAGAAAAATGTAGTGTTATTCCTGATTTGACTTATTACATGCAGTAGGGTTTTTTCCTTTTACATTCTAAAAGCAATAGACCATCACCCCAAATATAATATAGAAAATATACCTCAATCTATCTCACAAATTATTAAAATGTCGATGTATTCCTTTTAGGGCTTCCCAGAGGTTCACATATTTTGAAAGGTTATGAAACCACAGCTATCACATACTCTCATCATCTACCCACAGAGGTGCAGCTTTCCAAATTCCGTTTTCATGCCTGCATAAATCCCCATGCGCAGCCGATCCGGGATGTCTGTCTTCTTTTTGGAGAATTTGCTGCTTCCTCTGGGTTTTCCGATGGCAGTCAGTGATGCAATCAATGCCTTCAGATTGGCAGCGTATTGAATGCAAGGATGAGGTCTGTCACCTGCCTCCCTGTTTTCTACCTGCCTGAGCATCTGGTGTTTCCTGGTGCCTTCTGTAGTGTGCACTCAGAAAGCAAAGCCCCGTATATTCCAGTGCTGACAGGTCCAGCCCCCTCTTCCTGGACTCACCACGTGATTTTATAGTCCTACTGGATAGTGTCACGTTTGAGGAAAAGAGGGCTTTAGAGGCAATATTCTAAAACGGTTTTAATCAATTATTACTTGTGAGCAACTAGCTACATAGCTTAAAAACAAAAGGGCTTTAAGGAAAACTTTGAAAATAACAGTCTGAGGATGAAATTTAAAATAGTTTTAAAAAAACCCATAAAAATAGGTACTCTATGGAAATATACTGTAATATATAGCAACAATAAAACATATTTACTTGTTGGGAATCTACCAAAATGGATATAGTAGGCTCTGAGTATTTAGTGCTGACATACTTTCCTGGGGTTTACGGTTTTTCTAAATTGTAGGTGTAGTGTTCTAAAACAAAGGCAAAACAAACCCAAATCTCCAAATGGGCCCAGTGAAGCAAAACCTAAGTTCACATGCAAGCCAAGTCACAAACCGGGCTTCCCTCTGGGTGAGTTCAGGGTGCAGAGCAGGGCCGGCAACTCCAGTCCTGGACATGCCTTTCACTCTTGAGCTAACCCCTCAAAAGTCTCTCTACCTAGAAGGGCCAGCTTGCTTAATTCACAACAGATGGAACTGATTACCCCACTGGTTCCAGTGAACACACAGGAAGTGCTCCATAGGAAGCACTGGGTGACTGACATTGGAACACACACATGGTGAGAACCCGGGCTCCTAAGGAAAGTTGACCATGACAGCTATGTGGTGATGCCTGCCAATGAGACCAATGGCCGCCAGGCGCCTGGGAGGAACGGCCTACTAGCAGCGATCATCTACCATGCACCAAAAGTGCAACACAGGATGGATGCACTTTTATTATTTGGGTTGCAGGTCAAAATAAATTTGTAACTACTAGCTGTGTGAGGGAATTACTTTTTTAAAAATTGAGAAGAGAAGATTTCAACTTATCTTTGCGATACCACTCGTATGCGTCTCGAGGAGGAGAAAAAGAATTATAAGTACTGTATTAGCAATTATCCCTTCTTGTGAATGCCATCAAACATTCTCATAAGATTTTGTTCTCTGGAAGACTGAAATATATGGCAAGACATTTTCATGCTATGGATTGGAAGACATAACGTTGGCAAGATGTCAGCACTACCAAAGACAATCACTATCATAATTCCAACAGCCTTTTGTGGCAGAAATAGAAAATTCAATGTTTAAATTTATATAATACTGCAATGGGCCCTGCATGGCTAAAATGATCTTGAAAAATGATTCATATTTCCTGATTTCAGCTTCAGTAATCAAAACAGCATGGTACTTCTATAAGGATAGACATATGGACCTATGGACGAGAATTGAGAGTTCAGAAGTAAATCCATACAGTTAACGTCAGTTGATTTTTTTATAAGGGTGCCAAATCTATGCAATGGAGAAAGAATACTCTGTAATACAAGGTGCTGGGGCAACTAGATCTTTACATGCAAAAGAATGCAGTTAGTCCCATACCTCAGACCATATATGGAAATTAACTCAAAGTGGATCAACGACCTAATTATAAGAAATCATAAGGGTAAAGCTTTAAGACCTTGTTTTGACAACAGATTCTTGAGCACAATAAGAAAGGCCTAAGAAACAAAAGGAAAAGTAGATACATTGGACTTGATCAAAATTAAAACATAGAGATAAAAATACACCTAAAGAATGGAGACAATATTTGGTAATCGGAGATGTGATAACCTCCTGTCATCGAGCTGATTCTGGTGCACAGTGACCTTCACAGCAGAGCAGAACCCTCCTTAGGGTATCCGAGAAACACTCATCTTTCTCCTGCAGAGAGGCTAGTGGGTTTGAACTGCTGACCTTGAGATTAGCAGTCCGAAGCTTAACCCACAGTGTCACCAACATATGATCTCAACCAACCAAAGTCACTGCCATTGAGTCACAGCTGTTTAATATCTGGAGTATATGAGAACTATCACTCAAAAGCAAAAAGGCACAGCCCAATTACAAAATGGTCAATGAAGGATGTGAAGAGACACTTCTCCAAAGAGGATGTATAAATACAAATGACATCCCAATGAGATATCGCCTCACATCCACTAGGATGGTTATTATCAGAAGATCAAGAAAAATAATAAATGTTGGCAAGGATGGGGAGAAATCAGAATCCTTTATCTTGCTGGCAGGAAAAGTCTGGCGGTTCTGCAAAATGTTAAATGTAGAATACCTATGAGAGCTGGAAGCTGACAGGACTGGTCTGTTTTTTGGGGATCTTAGAAATTTTCGCCGTTAGCAAGGTAAGAGTCTTAGCTATCTTTTTGCCAGGTATTTTAAAGGAAAATATTTGAGTTTTCCTTCTCTAACAAGCTTTTGCCTTAAACAGGTTCCACCATATCACATGACTCAGCAATTCCACTCGTAGGGGGCGGGGAACTCAAACGGATACTTGCACACCAGCATTCCAGCGTAGGCGCATTCACAGCCACCAAATGAATGAGACAGCTTAAATGTCTTCCATCAACAAAGAACCGGACAGACAGCAAAGTGGTCTGAGGGAAGTCAGGTATTGCTATTAAGGTTCTAGCTCACACAAGGCTCCCAGCTCCAAACAAAGCTTGTGGACACAGGTCTGGGAGTCGCAGCGGGCTGCAGACAAGCTCTCTCAGCAACACCCAGGCTGAATCCTGCAGGGTGTCTTAAAAAAGACTCTAGGGATCCCCCACCAGCGAAATTCAAGGCAGAGGTCAGCTCAAAATTATGGTGACCTTGTGTTTTTTGGCGTCCAAAGGGGTCACCTTGACAGATACTTCTGCAGTATATGAGGGCCCAGGACGATCATGGGGGCTTATTCCGAAGGCAGTGGTGAGAAGACAGAAGACGGCTTCTGTGAGAACCAGTTAAGAGAGCTGCAGAGTGACTTATCCCATGAGGACAACGCATGCTCCTTCCTGAGGGCTGGGCTCTGAGAAACTCATTAGGAAACCTTACAGCCCTGATCGTGCGTGCCCCTGACCTCTCTGTGTTCCCAAGACTCAATAAACTTGTACAAGGAACATGGGGATGCCTGAACTGCCATTTGACGTGGGGCAAGGAGAAGAACGGAACGTTCTTCAGAGACTCCCAAAAGGAACAGGCAAGGTCACTGGGCTGGATTCTGAGCCATAGCAACCCTAGGCGGGAGGCCAGCTCGGTGTGGGCGTCTACGTGAAAAGGTGACCTCGGGAGAGTGTAAGCGAGTAAAGGGGCCAGCAATGTGGGGACGTGGCCTGGGGAGGGCATGTGGAGAGGTGGCCTAGTGAGGATGGCAGAACCACGCAGGGAGAGGGGGTTCAAGGAAGGGGGGGGCCTGGCCCTGGTTAAGCTACTTGCCAGGGAAGACCCTCCAGGGAGAAGAGAAGTCTAGCATAGGGAGTGTATGCCTTATGGGGTGAAGGGGGTGTCCGTATGAGACACACAGCCTGAAGGGGGAGTCCTGGTTGAGCGTGTCAGAGGCGGCCCGATGGGAAGCCAGGAGTGGGTGGGGATATGTTTGGTGGCCCAGCGTGGAGAGC